CCTATATATAGATCTAGACACCCTTTTGAACCTGTATGGATTCTCACATTCAATCGCACTTGAGATCACCTTATGAGATCTTATGAGGAGAAGTTGAAAATGCTGCAGCTTGGAAAAGAGGAGGCGAGCCTGCGCAGCCTGCTCTTCGCCACGAAAAAGCATTTCATCAAGACAATCGTTTCCTGCGTTTTCACGTCTCCGTTTCACGTCTCCACCAAAGACCTCCCATTGGGCACCAAAAACCTTTGGAGCATCAAAAACTGCCTCCATTGGGCGGGTTTGTTAGGATCATGGGAGCATGTCATGTACCAGCAGTTTCATGTCGGAGTAGTTTTTGTTTTTGTAAGTGAGTCGTTTTGTTGATGGGCACCCCGGGAATTCTGTCACCCCGATCTCCTCGTAGGCAAATATGACCCCTACTTGTAGCCTTCAGGTTGGTCATTGAAGAAATAATAGTTGAGCTGGTTTTTGCGGTTTTTGTAGGGTAAACTTCAGAGTAAAACAGCTGGTACGGCTAATTGGTAATGATAGTAAATAGCCATGGCACCATGTAAAATCAATTAAATCCAATCCAATGGTGGGCCCCAAATCCTAGGGTTACATTTTTGGGCGAAAGAACCAGGATCCTTGACGTCGATCGTGCCGCTCACGACGTGACACCAGATTTGGGAGGGCGCCGAGATCCGGGGAGGCGAAGGAAGTGTGGCAAATCCAAGAATCAATGCTCAAAGCAATCATCCGATTTCTACCGAACTACTACCCGTTTGGGCGGCCCATATCACGGCCCAGCTCAACTCAGGTTCGGTGGGAACCCCTCACGGATACCCACCTCAGGCGAAGACGGAGCCCTTGAAATCTATCCGAACGAAAACAACCACGGTCAGACGGTTTTTTCGATGTTGAAGCCACTCTGGCAGCTGTGGAGCTAGAAAGGTGCTGGTTTGGCATGGTTTGGCAGCTGGTTTGGAACGGCCAGCCGCTTTGGGTCCAAACAGCCAGCGGCCGCAGGTGCGCCTGCGCTTTCGCAACGTGCCAGCGGGGTACACGAGCGAGTTGATGCGTGAGGAGTTGGAGGAGTGTCCACAGCGACAGTTCCGTCGACCCGACGACTCGTTCGTAGTCGAAAACAGGTATATGCATATACCCTAGAAGTCCAGTTCGACTATATTTTGACCGGCTGAAGTAAAGGAAGTTCCCTTTCAGGTTCCCTAAAGACCATTCTTTTTATAGTCTTTGACTCCCAGGGTATATAGTATACCCATTCTTCTGAGGTACGAACTGAGACTCCAGTTAGCTGGAGTCTTAAAGTACCTCGGAAAATTGGTACACGCATGTAAAAGCACCCTTTTGTTGTTCGGGTCATGCCCTGTTTTCTAGGGTGCTTTGGAGGGTCCAGGTACTCTATAGTAGAGTCATAGAGTTGCTATAAGGTTATTTTTTGGGCCATTTGATTGGGGATGATAATCTACCCAGTCCAAGTGAGGGATAGGGATTTGGAGAGTTTTCTTTTGTGGCTTGGCTGGGTAGATTTTTGAGGGCTTCGTTGGACTAACAATTATCTTTGCCCGAGCAAGAATCCTGAGCTTGACTGTCCCTTCTTTAGTCTACTCTTGGCCCACATATATTGCCCCTTTGGCTTCTGAGGAAATCTCTTGGTTAAACACGGCCTGCTAATCTTGTGTCAAGCAGGCTTAAGCCGTACAGAAACTCATCCAGAACCGACCGAGCGGTGGTCGTTCCTGCATGGATCTTATTTGGGTGTTTGTACTGTAATGCAGTTCATGTGGTGTTGCTTCTTGGCAGTGACGTTACCGTTGTATGTGACAAAACATCTATCCCAGACACTCAATGTATGGGTAAGATGCAGTAAACAGTGTTGACACGGGTTTTGAACAAGGCCTTCAGGAACCATCATAATCCACTGTTACTGGTAATAGGATAGACCCCAAATATATGCCGCCCATATATAACAGTTGTCCCATTGCCATTGCTTGTAACAGTTTGCTTCAGAAAGCACTCTTCGTCCCGGTGAAGCAGGTCGGGACGCTGACCCTCCACCACGGAATTGCCTGCAGGGGGTCAACCAAAGGATAATCCATGGGTCCTCACAGGGGGTCCACTGCTGGATGGAGGGATGAGATTTTGGCAAGTTTACTAACCGTACTAACCATCATCATCCACAGATTACTGGTCATAAATAGCAAAGACCCAATGTTTCTATATACACATTGACTCGCCCAAGCCACCCCAATTGATCGATCCATGTGGCAGTCCCAAGCAGGTTTGTGTTTTTTTTGCGTCATCCAAGCACCTCCTTTGTCGCTCCGCAGGATGAAGGCTTTGGAGCCGAGGAGGCGGGTGGTTCTTTTCGGCCCGAACCAACTGCGACGACGTGGTGTTTTTGAACAGGGAGACCCCCTGACCAATGGGTTTTAGTGAAGCGTCCTTCTTCCAGAGGGTCCTTGGGAGGTCTGCTTGGTTTCAGAGGTCAGAAATGGCACGTTGCCCATGATGTCCTTTAAAAACTATGGGGTCCTTATAAACCACCGACATTGGGGTCTGTGTCATGTACTCTCAATCCACTATACATGTTGCAAAACCCTAGGCCCTAGTTGTGAGGGTCAAAACCCTAGCCATCAAGAGTGAAGAGTGTGAAGCAAGAGTATCAAACTACGTTTCGCGGTTTTTGTGTGTGTGTGTGCGTGCAGCCCAATTGTTTTTTGTGGTTTCTATAATCCTACACCTCCAAGTACCTCCTCAGGTTCGGTACTTAGACCCCCCACACCCACCCCAAGCACCTTCTCAGCAGGTACTTGCCTAGGGATCATCCTTTGTTCGAGGTTTTCTATCATTATCACTGATCACCGGGGACCGATCTTGCACGTTGAGCCCTTGGATGCGAGCCGAAGGTTGCATCGACTCGTGCGAGCCGAAGGTTGCATTCAAAGGTACCTGAACCTAACTTGCTTCGTATCCTCAAAAAAAATATATAGCACATGCCCCCTATAAAGGAGAGGTACCATGTATGTACTTGTACCCCATTTTTTTGAAGTAGGAACTGAGACTGGAAGTCTTGGTGTGCTGTACAGACTCACCAGCGGATCCTGGTTGCATCGAGCTACCCGGAACATTCCATGGAGCTACATACACATTTACCCCATGAACATGATCCGGTATAGTACATTACATGGAGTCTCAAAGTACCTCAGAAAATGGGTACAAGATGGTACAGTCGTACCCTGTTTATTATAGGGGTCCTCTTTTCTAGGGTGCTTGGTAAGCCGGGTCCACGTCGTCCAGTCCCATGGAGAGTTTGGGTTTGTTCGATGTTGTTGTTGTTTTTGTGTGTGTGAGGTGCTCTATGTGCTTCATGATTTGCAAGAACATCAAACCTACGTGGTGGCTTCTTCCGCGCGAGTGGGGCAGCAGATCATCACCAACTTTGATGGCAGGCGTTTGGAACTTTGGATGAGTTTTGATTGGGTTTGGGTGGGGCAAAGGTCGCGAATGCAGCAACTGTCATTTTGTTTCCTGAGAGGTTTGTGGGTGCAGCTATCCACACTCGCAATTGCCACGGTATCTCAGGGTTGATCCGAATTAGTTTCCTGCATTACTTCCATGAACTGAGTACACTCCCTGAACTCATCGATGGTTACGAAAACGCACCACCTCGGTCTCTCGGAATTTGATTCGGCACCATGCCATTCTCGTGGTGGACTCTCCGGACCTTACGTACCCGAACACAGGACATGACTCTAGGGCTCCATTCGGCCGCCCCCCTCCGTTTCCGTTCGATGGGACAGGGGTTTGCGGTTTTGGGGCGTCGAACCTTGTAACCACCGAACCTCAGGAGATGGGCCATGAAGGGAGCCCTAGGGAACCAAACCGGTCATTCTTCCGTTGTGACGATCGGGTCGACTCCAGGCATGATGATGTTCAGGGAGCTTACCATCCCTTTCCTGACCCAAAGTGGTGCAGTTTCAGTGCCAGTCAGCTAAACATGTCATTGAACAAGATACTTAAATATGTGTTTTGTTTGTCCATTACCATGTGATATATTTACACCTATAATACCTAGACCCGACTTCAAGAACCTTAGAAGATAGGACATGAGCCTATAAAGCAGGTGCTTGTACCCATTTCTGAGATACTTTACTTTGAGACTCCCAATATGTATATATACACATATACATGATTATACATGTATAAGTATAGTAGGAGGACTGTGCATGTACCAGGATCCTCCAACAGGTTTGCTCTGGAGGCTTTGCAGACTCAACAGTGGCACACGGTGACCTGTAGAGTCGGGTGCTGGTCTATCCCTCCAGGTCTCCTCCAAGTCTCCTCCAGGTCTCCAGGTCTCCTCCGGTCTTTCTGGCTTTCATCGCTCCTCGTTTTCCTGCGAGTACAACACGCAAAAATCGACTTGCAGCTACCCAAGTCCTGCGTCCAGACTCGCTCAGGAACGGCTAGGTCCTGGTGCTTTGCCAGATAGCTGCCTTCGTCAGAATGTGAAGCTGGAATGCCTGTAAAAAGCTGGGCCAGCTGGGTCCCTTCGCGCTGGTCGCGCGGTGTTCGGCGTTTGTTTGGTTGCCTTGTGCGAACATTGCGGCGGGGCCGTCGGATGGAGGGAGGTTGGAATTCTTGGAGACCATCGCGGTATCGAGAGACATTTTGCAACATCCATGCCTTTGAGGTGCTCTTTTCAGCCGGAAGGTTTGGTCCAGGCTGGTCCAGCACGGATGGTTGGTGTATGTCTAGGACTTGAGTGACCTCTATGTTCAACCTCCCACATCAAAACCAAGGTCCAATGGATTCATGATATGGATTCTAGTTCTACGTATCGAGATCCCGTCACGCCCTCCCATTTCTGAACAGACTTGGAGTACCCCAGAACATCCTAGAACATAGAACATCACCCTACATCCCTATACAAACCAGGTCCAAAAGTATCCCATTTATGGCACAAACAGGTCGACTCCAGCGGATGTAGCCCTGAGGCCTTCAACCAGCTGGAGATGGCTGAGATCCCCAAAGCCGCACCTTGACCGCCTCGTTCTCGTTCTCGGTCCCCGAAGGGCTCGGGCCGCCTTCGTTTATGTGGGCATTGCCAGGAAGTTGATCACCTGCCCAAGCATGTTGTCTTGGCGGAAAATTAGGGCACGCCCCATCTTTCACAAGAACAGGCAGAGTTTCTTCGGTGAAGCTTTCTTTTCCAAGCAAATGGCTCAGGCAGACGTGATGTGGGACTGTGGATGGAGGCCTTGCACCCTTCTGCCGATCCAAAAACCCACCCAGGAAGTTTCTGCAGAACCTGCAATGAACCTCCTTGTTGTTTTTTGGGGGGAGTGGTGGCACCCCAGTAAACATGACCAGTCGGACTGTCAGGTTCACCTGCGCACCTTGATCTTCCAAACTTTGGGCGTTTGAAAAGACCGTTCTTATCCGTTCTTACATGTTACAAGTTGTGGCATTCAGTCTTCAGTGATGGGGATACATCATATCCCTAGGGATCCCAGTACCTTCTCAGAAGGTACTTGGACCCTCAAAACCTACATCAGAGTGTCTCCAATCACCTTCTGAGAAGGTACTTGCCCCTAGGGTATGGATACATGATGCAAGCTGGATGGTGCAACGTCATTTCGGAGATGCGACGTCCATTGGGAGAAGCGCTGGTCCGAAGAATGAAGCAGCTCGCTCGCGCGATGGAGAATTCCCCTCCGGACAGTTCGTTGGACAAGAGATTCAAAGCCCGGATCTTGTTCAGCCCCTCAAACGGTCGCCCTCCACAGGGCCCCCGCAGGGTTTAGTCTCTTAAGCTCAAACCGAGAAAAGCAGCTTCACCTCGACTGGACCTTCCGTTCGGTGGTTCGAAGCGACTTGTTCGCCTGGACCTCTTGGAAGAGGCTGATTTCTCGACACCTCAGGTTCGGGTGCGTTCGTGCTCCCTGAGGGCTCCACCTTGGAGTCGCCCCTCAGGTCTTACCTCTACGACGCCTGACACGCCTGCAGTTGAACGACAACCCGGCGGCCAGGAAATCCCAGTTCTGCGGTCCATGGCTGTTCACCCTCCAGTGTGGTCCAGTTCGAATGCATGCCTAGAACTCTTCTACGTGTTGGACGGCCCATCACCTGAAGGATGGTCTTTTCCTATCAAAACATGACCTCAATGTTTGCCGACATGGATGGGTGGTCTTGAGAAATGTTCCATGCCTGTCCAGCAATTTGGGTTGACCTACATTTATAAGTGGTTGATTCCGGGGTCAATGCAGGTGTACTCCATACCGTGGGGTGTTTGGGATTCGCAGACTGGGGCTTTAATGTGGCCCGTCATCCCTTTTGCCAGTTGAAGAAGGTTACAGGTGCCAGTGGCAGCTGAAGTTTTCAGTGTAATTAGCTGAAGAATCCGCTTGCAAAGATCGGTTAATACCTAGCTTTTGTTGGTTTAACCATTTTGCATCAAAGAGCTTCGCCTCTGTACCCACGAAGTAGTCTCGGGTGTTCTTTGTTACCAGATCTGGAAAACCGTCACGTTGGATGGCTCCAATTCTGGAGCATGAACCCTTAATAAGGGAGGCTCTTTTCAAGTTCTGCTTCAACAATGCCGCCCGAGCCTTTCTTCAACATGCGTTTTGGGGTGTAGTTCTTTGCCAAATTGTCAGAAGACATGCCACCCAGAAAATTGATCGGCCAGGGGTCACAAAGGGGTGGTGTTTGGTCCCTAAGTGAGTGGAGTAGCTGGGCACCCCTAACCTCCAAGTTCGGCACCCCTTTGTGATTCCTGGAGGTTCCTATTTCATTCTATCATAATCTATCATATCTCATCATGTATCTCTTTTTTGGGGGGCATAAATAAACATGGAAGGGAAAGGTTGCTCCCAAAACCAAATCTCGGGTGTCCCCCAGCATGAAATAGATCCATACTGCCATTCACGTTTAGCATCAACACTTCTACAATGGACATCCATAGACCATAGAGTTCATCGTCAGCCATAGAGAAATTGCTGAAAAGATTATACCTACAAAATGTATAATCATACACAAACATCACAAACCAAACAAATGGAAACAACATGACAATGACAACCGTCATTGGTCATGAGGACGAGAGTCGATGCACCAACCGAAAGATATGCACCAAACGCTGCAGCGATGTTTGCCTTTTGGCAGTTTTTTGTTGACAAGGTCAAAATGTTGAACAAGGTCGAAAAAACCAGGTACCTGGAGTCTCAAAGCACCTCGAAACATTTGTACAAGGACCTGTTTTTATAGGGTCGTGTCCTATTTTTTAAGGTACTTTGGAGGGCCTATAGGTATACCCTATGGATCCACTGCCACCCTCCTGTAGAAGGTGATGTTTTCGACACTGTTACTTGTATGTAGGTGGAAGGTGGCAGCGGATCCTTAGCAAATCACTATCGGGTTGTTCTACCGATCCTCAGGTAGCTGGTGTTGACCTGTGAGTTCGTACCTCGGAACACACGCCAAAAGAAGCGATACCTTTCTATTTGCTTGTCATGTTCTATGGTTTCTATCGAACCAGAATGACCTCGGACCAACCACCCGTCTTTCCTCGAATGGCCAGCGATGGATGCCCGGTCCGGTCCCCTCTCCTCAGGTCGCCGAGCTCATGGAGGACTACCGGTCCCGCCGGCCATGTTCGAAGCCGGCGGTGCGGGACGATCAAGGAAGACCGGTTGGAAAAGAGATAAGTAACACTGCTGTCCACAATAGGAAGTCCGAAAAAACAAAAAAAAGTAGAACATGATATATACAGAGAAATTACAATTTTCTAGGGCTCCAGTCCCTCCTCAGGTTCGGCATGGCATGGCCCCTCCTGGCACGCACGCACCCCAGTACCAGCTTCTCCTCAGGTTCGGTACGGAAACGGAGCCAGGGGAATCATCATCACCAAAGATGCTGGTTGCAGGTTGGTCTCAGTGACCGCCTGCCAGCGCAAGACGACCGACACATCCATCGCCTGGTGACGCTGACGGGTGTAGAATGGCGCTGCACCTGGGGTGCCATGCGGGAGCACCCAGGAAGTACGTGGATCACTTGCTTTTCATGATGGAAAAATCAGGCATTGGGTACACCCTACTCAAAACAAGCAGGTGGAAAAGGCTAAGTGTTTTACAAGTATGTTCCCAGCGAAATTGTACTGTTCGGGGGTAGCTTTGAAAGTCCATTCCATGGTGGAATTACATCTAACTCATGAATGACCCAAGTGTCGGTGACTATTGCCCACGGTCCACTGTGAGACAGTTCGATCTCACCAACAACATGTAAAATAAGTGTATACCTGGAGTCTCAAAGTACCTCAGAAAATTGATACATTATATAATGGTGTCATGTCCCGTTTTCTAAGGTACTTGAAGTCGGGTGCAGCTAAAACAATTTCATGCACAACAACCGTTCTCAAGCCGGCCTTCTGGGCGTACCTCTCCCAATTACTGGATACATCAGGTGTGCTTTTGTCCACCCCCAGACCATCCATGGGACTGGAGTAGTTTCCTACATTAGGGTCATCCATGAGGTAAATGTATATACTGTAACTCTTCCACACATGGATGGTCTGGGACCGCATCTTAAGATCTGCTGGGTGGTTTTGCTCCGGATCGTTCGGAGCGGTGCAGAGCCGCGCAGAACTCGCCATGCCAGGCCCTGGGTCCTTCGCATGGTTCCACACTTGGAGGCCGCAAACGGCGTCGGCGTGCCGGGATCTGGAGAGGTGATTGGACCCGCCGAAGGAGAAAAACGTCTCGAATGAATGAAACTCCAATGAATTAATCTAGACCAGGAGTCACATGTTAGAGTGGTTTTGTTCGTCCCATCCAGGGGCTGCGGCCGTTCAGAACCGGCACCCCTTTTCAACTCCCGGGAGGTATAATACAGTAGATTGAACGCCAGGTGTTCAGACCTTAGAGCAAGAGACTTGTTCTTCACTTGTTTTTTCAGCGAAATTGCAAGCAAACATCAATTCAAAGAAACCTGTAGAAAGAATGCTGAGGCATTGCTGAAGCAAAAGGAAGGATATATTTGGAAGGATTCGTCATGTCACCTCTATTTCGGGGAGATCTGACATGACCAAGTTCCCTGAAAAGCCACCCGACCTGCCGGGAGCTGAAGTCTTGCAGATCAAAGGTCACTGACATGCCTGAAAAGACAACATGGCCAGCAGATCAACTGTTCCTCCTAAAACTGGGCCTTTGCTTAAAACATGTTTTCAGTTCTGCCCCCGAAATCAGGAGCTTGACAACGAGACGGTCATGGAAGTGGAAAGGCAGGCGGACGCCTGACTGGTGGGCGGGTCCCATGGCTTGGAGTTTTTTGAGGCGAAGATCTGCGCATCAAAGGTGCCAAGGCAAGAAGACATACACCATACGGATCCCATACGGGAGTGTTTGGGACACGAAGGCGCCGGTGGGCCTCAGGTACCTGGAACGGACTTGAAGTGCCAGATGGGCCCGAGGTGCGAAACGTTCGTACCTCATCCTCAGGTATTTGGAGCCCCAAGGGGGGGTGATCGAGCCTATCCGCCCGCCCTGTGCAAATCATTGACTTACCAGGAAAAATCGCAAGTGATCTGTGGTCCGCTCAAATGTTTCCCAGAGGATCCTTGTAATATTGGCAAGCGCCTGTGGCCACCGCCAGGCGTTCACCCGAGCCTTGGGTGAGCGGCTTTGCCGGCATGGGGCGAGCAGTGGCCAGGTTTGCTGCGAGCTGGGTGGGAGGAGATGTGGGTCATGTGGGTGTGTATGTTCATGGAGACACCCAACGAACTAGGCGTTTAATGAATTTTCCTTCTTCCTGGGTTTTGGAAGTACAATCAGGTTCTGGAGCAAGGCATGGGTTTGTTCCAGACCCAGATCCTGGAGGATAGGTCGACGATACACATGCAATTTCTCTCGTGATAGTTTGAATTATTCTATATATTTTGTTGATCATGGCAATACAATACGCTGGACCGCTGCTAGAGTGGGTTTTCGCTGCTGTTCCCTATTGCATACAGATAAGCTAGAGGATCAGATGTAGATTAGCCCAGATTTTTTATATAAACATCTATAATTAGTCTGATATCTACTGTGATCTACTGTTATCTACTGTACATGCCTGGATTTTGCCAACTCTGCAAAAGGTCTTTCTATTGGCTGGTTTTATAGATCGAAAAGGCCCACATGTTCGACCCGACTCGACAGGACATGACCCGAAAAGAATCACAAGTAACAGCTACCTAGGCCTCCTAAGGGGTGTCTAATAATGGTTCCTTAGAGGTTATGGGGTGTCCATTAACCACCCCAAAGCGGGGGCATTGGTATAGAGCTGTTCAGTATCACGCAGGGGGGTCGACTCCCGGAAGGTGAGCGAACTGAGCTCTCCTCGTGCTTGCTCGACCCGGTCGCGTGTTTGCTCGACCGTTCGGTCGAACCACCAGGTTTAAAAAAAAGGGCCTGAATCTCGAAGAACTCATTGGGTTGACTAGGGACCCTAGGCCTCCAAGTACCTGCTGAGAAGGTCTTTGGGGTGGGTGCCAGGAGGGTCTAAGTACCTTCTGAGGAGGTACTTGGAGGTGTAGGGGGATTTTACACCAAAAAACACAGATCAACCATGGTGAGACGTTGGGCGGTAGGGCGAAATCCTCGACGACGGAGGACCAGTTTTCCGTGCCGTGCCCAGACACGACTAATGGGACTGGCAGAATGCCATTGATCCCTTTTCAACCAGCCCAATTGATCTGCAAACATGCATCATATGCCATAAATGGAGTGTTTATGGTGGTGTTTTTGTTGGGTCACGTCGGCGATCACTTCGCGCAGCGATTTCCCAGCTTCATGCGTTGCATGCGAAACCGTCGGTGCGAAGAGCATAATAAATACTAATATACCTCAAAAGGATCCCAACTCTCAGCTACTTGCAGATATTCAAGATCATGCAGGGTATACCCTGCACATCGATAACCAAATGGTGTGGTGCCATGGTCTGAGAGGGAGGTCTTCACTGAAGCATTTGGTTGAAGAAAGAACATGAAAGAACGGCAGATTCACTTTGACATACTTGTTTGACCATTCCATGTTCTTTGACTTTGCACTTGCTGATGTGAACAGTCACGACAAGTCTAGCCAGGAGAGTCCAGCGAGATAAGATCAAGGCAGGTCTCAAGTTTGAAGTAAGTCCAGCGAGAGATCGAACATTGGATGTAGTGACTCTCTTATATCCGCACGACCGAAGCTCCCACGCTGAAGCCCTGGCGCCGGAGCGACCGAGCCGACGATGAAGCATCGCTTTGACCTCTATGTGAGATACACCGTTGCTTGGAAAGGCAGCTGAACATCTAGGGCTCCACATCCTCAGTAGTTAGATCCTCAAAAAACCATCCCACCTTCCTTTCACGGAGGTAGTCGGTGGAGTCCCTAGGAATGATTCACAAAGCAAATCACACCAAACAGAGATTAGTAAGTGTCCACCGTACCACCCAGTTTGGTGTTGTTTGTGTTCACCCCACCCAAAAGAATAACCCTGGCGCTGGCTGGTGGAGCATGTCGACATGCCTTATGATCTTGGCCGAGACGAGATCTCCCAAGGTTGAAATTGACTTGCCCAATCCCATCAATACGCTGGAAGGTCTTAACGGTGCCTGTGGCGAACGGGTGCAGAGATCAGCAGATTGGGAGTCGGAGGGAGCACATCGGAGATGGGAGAACTTGGCACCAACCAAACAACTATATATGTGGCTTCTCAAAGTACCTCAGAAATGGTTACAATATATATATATACACACACACCCTATTTATACCTAGCTATAGTTATAGGGTCATGTCCTATTTTCATCTATTGTCTAAGGTACTTTGGAGGGTCCAGGTCGTCCTCCTGGAGTAGACAGAAAATGGTGGAAATCCCAAACAAATGGAACACTGACCATGTTTGGATTGGTTCATACACTCTAGGATGGATATACATTGAGCCGTTTCAACACGTTTTGTCACTTGAGCTGAGCACCCATGCATACTCTACTACTCCCTGTTTGAGAGATCATGTTCCACATGCAGCAACAGCAATATCTTCATGAGTGTTTCTTTTGGGATTTTGAGGAAGCATTACTTGGTTTGTTTTGGCGTGCTTCGATTCAAGATGAGGACACCAGTTAGTGTAACTTGCTGTGATTGCTTTCAAAGCGGAACATGTAAACTAAACATCACGGGTTGGGGGCCTTCATATATCACACACAGCTATTCCCAAATCTGTGCATTTTGCAGCTCTTCACTTTGTGTTCCAAAGTGTCGCTTCCAATAGTTTGCTGCTCTCCAGGAGTTCTGCAGCATCCTTTGATCCTGATTCCCAAGCCCCAATACGTGGCTTCACACCGTATTTCAAACTCGTGTTCCTACGCAGGAAAAGTGAATACCTTTTTGTGGGGATTGTGGACACAAACTACATATGAACGGAACATTTGCTTCTGACCAGCTCGGGAGTCAGACGAGGCACTTGTCCACCATCTTCCAAGGAAGGCGGTTCTTACTTTGTGGAGCCGTTCAACGTACACTCTTGATTAATAACTCCCCCCCATATGAAAAGCTTGTTCAATTCAAATGGGGGAGTTGTTAATCAAGAGACATCAATTAGGTGTGGCGAATCGCGAGTTCTTCTACATCCTCCGTGAGATGACGAAGCTGAAGATCTTTGGCTGTGGTGCTGCTCCCTCTGGGGGGCTGGAGTGGACTCTTGGTCATTCTTGGTCGACGCGTTGGCTGGGCCCCGGACACCTAGGTGTCCGGGAGAAAGGACGGACCACACCCTGAACATCGGAAAAGGCCCCTGACTGAGTGAAAGACCTGCGAGTGTTTCTAGGATTCCAACCCCCATTGAATTAAGTGATTTTGCAACCTTAGGTACCTTAAGTACCTTAGTGTTTCCAGGTGGTACATGGTGGAGTATGTGGACATGGTGGTACCCTCAAGGCATGAATTAAGTGATGTTGCTTGAGCTTAGTTTCAAGATTTAGACTACAACCGGTCAATAGGTCGACCTCCGAGATAAATGCTCGAAAGGAAGCTGGGACAGGCGCCACTTAGGCTCAGTGTTTTGACGTTGTCCAAACCGGCACCACTGAGGACACATCATCTCGCAGCGACTTGGATTTACACGTGTGAAAAGCGCGGCTGCGGCTGCGAACAGCCTTGCTTCATCGTGGGCCACATTTTCAGGGTGGCCCCCAGGTTTGTCCCAGAACATCCACTCACTGGATGTGACTTCCTGGATGTGACTCCATTCACTTTGAACATCGTTGAACGAGTGGACAAAACATCAGCACCATAATCAATTAGGGATCACAAAGAGATTGTGATGGAAGTTCCCACAACACAGAGATGTTCCCACCAGATAGTGGCTGCTTCCGTGGAACACTCCTAATTTGCTTGAGACTTGAAACAAACTTGGAGCCATACCAATACCTTTAAGTACTCTATAAAGCTCTATAACTATTAATATTAGGTTGTTTTTGATCTATACATATTAACTAATACATATTTATAGGCTCTTTGTTCCAGTCCAGGCATATCACAATTTCCCCCTGTTCACCCGCAAAACATCATGAACCTAAACATCGCTTCACTCGGCGCTCCGAAAACGGCGAGATCCGGGACAGTCTTTCCCCCCGCCTGCGCGTCGCGGCGGGTCACGGCCGCCGCACGACGAGGCTGCGCAGCGACCAGGATCTTCAGCAGTATTTGTCGAGCAATCTTCCAGCCGAGGGCCCCGTCTACGAGCGGCTGGGTTTCATGCGCGAAGCACAAATGCGTGCGATCGGCGCTTCGATGACCTGGGTGGGGTGCGAGTGTTGGGGTGGGTCTTGAGGTGTTGGGGGGGTTCTAATGAACTTCCGATACCCTTTGAGGATCTGGTTTACCATGGTTTACGTACATATATATATATGTACATGGTCATATCTATACATTATGACATTGACCTGTGAATTCACTGGGATGTAGGTGATTTCTTTGTTTGGTCTGATCGAGTCTTTGGACCGCCCTAGACGCCCCCCCCATGATGTTCATTGATGTTCAATCATCACAAGATCTTGCCAGAGATCGTGTGGCAGTTGGAAAAGAGATGCCACGCACAATCCACCTGTACGCGTTTGTGTGTGTTTTCTTTTTTTTTTTCAAAGTATACCTGCTTGCAAGGACCAGGGCATGTCTTTTGTCCAGAAAAGGACGTTTAGGGCCATGTCCTATTTGCGGGGTACTTGAAGTCGGGCCCGGCAGATAGAGAGCGGAAGGTTTTACGGGTAACTCCTGAAGCAGGCGAATAGAACGACAGGAAGGTCCACGTATCCTACATTGTTAGGTCCTAATCGATGCATATCTCCCCACACTTGGTCAGATGGCCCATCATCTCCACGATTCCTTGTTCAGTCTCGCGGATGATGTGCGTTGGATCCTTGTTGGACCGAGGTTGCACTTACCTGACGGCACGGATGCAGGCCAAACGCTCCGATCGCCCGCCAGCTGGGCAGATCTGGGCAGCTCTGGGCAGCTCTGGGCAGCTGGATGTTGCAGCATGTCAGGGCCGGGGAGACAAGGAGACAAGTATGGTACAAGGAGACAAGATATGACAAGATGTTGTGTGTTTACCATATTATACAGCTTAGGACTCCACCATACAGGTGATGTCGCATGCCTGTGAGCGCCGAGGTCACGAACGGTAGAAACCTG